CATTTTCACATCGAAAATGTGTAAGTTCCAATCAAAGTGGCTGCACAAGATAGCAATATTCTTATTGTATCATCTTAACGACAGGTGCAAATGCCTCCTGATAATTTACTCTATAGGTTAGTCACCAATCTAGATTTGTATCTTTCAATCGACCAATCTGTCTTGTATTTTTACAGTAAACATTTATTAACAGTCAATCATCTTTTTTCCTATTGGAGGTGAAACAAACTCACAGATTTTTTTTTGCTAAAGTTTTATCTCTTTTATCATGTCTTCCTTCCATTTGGGATCCCATAGAGCTTTTCTCCAATCCTATGAAATAAATACAGAGAAAACAGATAAAACACAGAATCTACAGGAGGGAGATAAAGAGTCATAAGAAATAAAATTAGACATAGAGTGCTTAGTGCAAGACCCGACTACTTTTCTAAAGCAATGAGTTTACCCATATCATCAGATAAATCATAAAGTAAAAGTAACTTACGAGTATTTTCAAAAACTAATGAACATTCTTGACCTGAGACAGACTGTATGTTGACTTTCTCTATCTTATTCTTTCTTGAATACCTTTTCAAATGTGGTTATCCAGACATCCGACATTAGCTTCTTGAATGAGACCTTCCGAAGTAGAGCTCTTCCCTTGAATATGACTGTTAAGAATTAACAAACTAAGCATAATCTCTTCCTTCTCACTCTCCCCTTGAAAAAGTGTTGAGCTTAAACTGAAATAAAACTTCGATTCCTTACAAGTAACATCCATAATTATAAAATATCTTTTAGACGGAGAATGGTAACACTTGCAACGTTTCTAAGTAGAGAGATATCCAACAAATGCACACTTAAGAGCTCTGGGTTTCAACTTACTAATATTTCTAGCATGGACAAAACAAACACATCCAAACACCTTTGAAAGAACAAAAAGAAATTTTTTCCTTGCAACACCTCCAAATAGCTTCTAAAATTAAGAATTCTCATGGGCATTCTGGTGATAAAATAAGTGGTTAAAAGAATTGTATCTGCTCAGTAACTTTTCGATGAATTTATGGTGAACATAAGAGAGTGAGCTACTTCCAGTGTATGTTAGTTTTTTCTTTCAGTAATACCATTTTGTTCACTGGTATCGGCACAACTCATCTAATAGATTATTCCATTAGACTTCGAGTAGGCAGAAATCTACTATTCATATATTCTGTACCATTATCTATTTTTAGAATCTTAACTTTAGTATCGAACTGTGTACATATCATTTTATGAAATGATCAAAAGTATGAGAATATATCAATTTTTGCTTTCAACAGATAAATCCATGTTAATTTAATTTAACAATCAATAAAAGCAACAAATCATATATGACTGGATAAAGAGGTATTCTGAGTAAATTCTCAAACATTAGAGTGAATAATCATAAATCGAATAGAACTTCTATGGTTACTCACGTGATAAGAACTTTTTTATGTTTAAATAGTTCATACGCATCACAAAATATAGAATCCATGAAAGTTCTCTTAAACAAATTAAGATATAATTTTTTTAAAGTAAAGAAAGAAGGATGTCCCAACTGTCGATGTAATTATAGAATTTTCTGATTGATCTTCGTATTCTCAAGAGCAACTTGATTTCCGATTAGACTTTGACTTTTATAAGCCATCTTGCAATCTACCAATGTCTATCATGTTCCCTGTTTGAAGATTTTGAAGGATACAATAATTAAGAAAAATTCAATTTTACAGTTAAGATCTCTAATGAATGTATTAATAGATAAAAGAATGTCAAGAAAACTAAGCACATGAAGGACTGAAGACAGAATAATAGTAGGAGTATAATTAATGGAACCTGTTTCAGATGCAGAAATATATGATCCATTTGTTATATAGGCATTTTTTCCTTTAATATAAGGAAAATAGGTTAAAAAGTTTTTAGCAGAGACTGTCATATGTCTATTAATATTAGAATCTATAATCAAACTATTAGAATTAAAGATAGTAGAGAGATGAGCAATACCTGATTTACCATATTTGATGCATCAATAGTTGATGAGAGATTATCCAAACTAAGAATAATTAATTTTTGTGCTTCTGTCATGGGTTTGAAGTAATAGAAAAAGAACAACACCCAGTAACCAATATCACAGGGATAAAACAAACCTTTTAACCAGTACCCCATTGAGTTGGAAACAATAGAATTATGCTAGAAAATGGAAGTATGTTGTCCGAAGTCAATAATCGGAAACAGACCGGTCCAGCAGCAAACGCGGCAACTTGGCTCAGTGTGCGGACAAACTAGATCGAACGGCTCGGTACATGGAATTGCTAGATCATAACTTCTCCGAGCGCGGCGGAATACCCAAATCGGCAGTGAGCGCGGTAGTTGCATGAAGACAGGAGGCACGGGAATAGCCGGCTGGGTGTGACAAGCCGAAGAAACGGCAACCACGGGAACAGGCGAGTGTGCGAAGGCCTTCGGCGATGCGCATGGCAGTTGCGTGAGGGCAAAAGCTGGAGAAATGCGTTTGAGTTGCAGCGGCCGCGTGATGGCTAAAGGCAAAGAGATGTGATTCAAGTCGGATCGCGTGCGACAAGTCGAAAATCAACCCCAATTGAGGTGTCTAGCAGCGACTAGAAGTGATTCAAGCTAAATTGCGGATGTTTGGCGGCGCATGTAGCTCTCGTGCTTGGAGAAACGGTCACCAACATTGGGAGCAGGCTAATGGTGAGGCTGAGACTCCATCTGAGATGGTGGTGAGAATGAATTTTGTCCTATTGTACTATTTTGGGGTTTGAGAAAAACTCCGAAATTAATAACTTTAAAATTACAGTTTAGTTCTGATATCATGTAGATTTTAAAAAAAAATATTAATTTTATTTTCTCATACTCTTTGTAATATTACAAGTGGGGGTATATATATAGAATTTCTAATTACGAATAAGGAAATTTACATTATTGTAGAGATTTTAATTAATTGTACTAATTAATTACATCATTATAGGAAAAGATTACAAGTGAATAGTATTCTCAATAGAAATTTAGAAGAAATTAGAAAGGAAATCTAACAGTAGAGTAATTAATACAATCCCTAATTAACTTGGAAATTTAAATCAGTATAATCTAGGAAATAAAATCATCACTATATTAATATATAATAATAACCTATTTAGGAATTAAAATCTACAACAAACATCAATACTTCGAATTATAAATAATAATAATAATAATAATAATAATAATATTCCAATTATTCTTCTCCAAACCAGGGTCTTGTACATATAAATTCGTATATTTATGTATATTTGTAAGTTTGCATGTATGTTTATCTCTTTGATATCACACTATTGATCTATTATGTTATAAACTCCCTTTCTTTTGACTTAGCATCCTTGTGAGAGGATGAAGACAAGATCAAAAAGCCATCCTCTACCACCAAACACTTACACCAACCTGTCAACTTAATAAATTTCACTAATCCAACATGATAAAAATGGTTTATTCCACAAACAACCACAAGATATCATTGCAACATGTAGGATATCATTATGGTTTTTTCGTGTCTTTATCATGCAATCTTATCTATGTTTGAATCTTTTATATTATGGATTCTAGTTGTTTTGATCATTCCTTTCGGTTCAGGCTCTCGGAGACCTGGTGGAAAGTATTGCAGGGGCAATGTTGATAGATTCCAAGTTTAATCTTGATGAAGTATGGAGAATATTTAAGCCACTACTGTCTCCAATTGTGACTCCTGATAAACTTCAACTGCATCCACTACGTAAATTGATGGAATTGTGTGACTCTCTTGGGTATTTCATCAAAGAAAAATGTCTGAACAAGGGAGAAATTGTGCATGCTGAGTTGAGGTTGCAGCTGGAAGATGTTCTTTTGGTTGGAGAGGCACATGAACGGAGTGCAAAGCTTGCAAAAGGAAAAGCAGCTGCACATTTATTGAAACAACTTGAGGTTCGTAAGTTCTTCTATCAATGCATGCATTACTTTTTGTTTGTTTTTACAAGTGAATTATGATCAATAGCACAATCTATATAGTAATTGAACATTTTGGAGCCACTTAGTTCTTGTTAATTGAACTTAATCAAGATTTGATTGGTTAAAGAACATTTTTACCGGATGCTGCATAATAGTGAAGTAATGTCCACTTTTTCCAACTTGTTCCTAAGATTGTTAAAATTTGAAATTCTGCAGAACAGAAAAATCTCTCGCGGTGGTTCAAAGAGGAATCAACGGGATCTTGATCATTCTGGCGAGTTATCTTCCCTAGATTTCAGTATTAACATTTACAGTCAAACATCTGATGGCAGTTTGTCAAGCGCAAAAAAGCAGAAGACAACTGAAACTCACGTGCTTGAGTCAGCCAGTGTTTCTTCGTTTGCTTATGACTGCTCTAAGAATGCCAGCAGTTCCTACACTCCCATTCCAGGTATACCCTATATTTTAATTCTTCTTGTTCTCAATTATGAATTTCCTGTGACTTGTACTTGAAATACTATAAGGTCCTGTCTGGTTTAGTTCATATTTTATTTCTACTTAATTCCTACACTTAATTTTCATATTGACCCCGATATGTACTACTATAACATTAATGTTTAAATTACCTCTGTCTATTTGAATTCTTTACAATGGGATGATCTCAAGTATTAAAAAGAAGACATAATATTTTTATGTGTCAAGGCTAAAATGATAATTTAAGAATAGAAATTTGCTTGAAATGGATTAGGAAGAATCTAATGAGCTGCAATTGCCTGCTGCAGCTCGTATATATATGTGTGTGTAGGTCCTTACAATTGTCTCCCTAAGTTGAGCCAGGCTCATATGTTATAGTTGTTTCCGGTTTTGTAGTTGTAGCCCCCATCAGCATGAAGAAAGGAGGACCCCGGACTTCTCTTTTTGAGTTTTGTAAGAGACAGCTGTGGCCAATGCCTACATTCCAGACGACAGAGCATAAATCGAAGTGTGTCCAAGCTGTCATGTTATATTATCTAATTCATTCCTGCTTTACAACATGGAGCAAAAAAAATGATGAGATGTTCACTTTTCTTTTGTGGAAGAATAGAATGTTATTATTTTTATTGAATAATACGACCTATTTATCTAAAACTTTTTGAACAAAAAAAAAGAAATCCTAATTTAAGTATACTTCAGATATCCTAATTTAATTACATCTCTATTTAGGAGACTAATAGTAAAGATATAATAGAAGAGAAGTATTTATATTTAATAACACTTTCCAACACTCTCCTTCAAATTAATGAATAAACGTTGTCTACTCCCAGCTATTAATTGTTGTTTAAAATTCTACATTGCTCATATTTTTGGGTAGTACATCGCAAGTTAAGAGTTGGTAGGCATATAAGACCTAAGGAGTTGCTCTCTAATTTCTCTTTGTTAAAATAACAGTCCCTTTCAATATACTTGGTCCTACCATATCGTACTAGATTGCGAGCAATACTAATGGCAGATCTGCTGTTATAATAACGTATCATCGACCATCCCACCAATTTGTATTTGCCAAGATAATTTTCAACTGTAATAGCTCACACACTCCTTATACCATTGCTTAAAATTTTGAGTCTGCACTTGACCTAGTTATTACTTTCTATTTCTTATTTCTCCATGTAACAAAATTTATTCCTGAGAAAGTGCAATAACCTGTGTTGATCTTCTATTCACTAGTGATCCAGCATAGTCAGCATCAGCGTATGCTTCCAATCTCAGTCCAGTACTCCATTTGAATAAGAGGCCTTTTCCTAGGGTTCCTTTTAAGATAATGCAATAGTATGTAAGTTCTTGTAGGTGAATTTCTTTGGAATTGTACATGAATTGGTTTATTAAACTTATTGTGTGGGATAATGGCTGACCTTGTATGTGTCAGCTAAATGAGTCTTCTAACTCTCTGATGCATCTCCTTCTTGACAGCAACATCTTCTTCTGCCAATTCCAACGTGTGGTTGGGATCTTTAGGTGTACTTACAAGTTTGCATGCTACCTTATGTGTCCTTCAAAAGATCACTTATGTACTTTTGTTGGGCGATGAAGATTCCTTAATTTGAGTGAATCACCTCAATTCCTAGGAACTTTTGTCTGCCTAATTCTTGGATCTCAAACTTCTTCGTCAAACATTATTTGAGTGACAGTCTCTTCTTCTAATAATTTCCTATCACAATTATATGACCAAATACACAAATAGGATATGACTTCCCTCTGAATATGAATGTTTGACAAAAATTATATGGTCTTATTGAAATTGTTTGCATCCCATGATCAATATTACTTTATAAAGTTTCCAAATCAGGGTTTAGGTGATTGTTTCAATCCGTATAATGCTTTTTTAAGTTTGTGTCCCTTATTGGTTCCTACATGGTCAATGAAACATGATGGAATCTCCATTTATATTTTCTTCTAGAGATCTCTATATAAGAAGATATTCTTTATATCAAATTATTGAAATTTCCATCAGCAGCTAAGGACAAAAGTATTTGGGGTATGTTCATTTTGGCAACAGGTGCGAAGTTCTCTTAATAGTCTATACCATAGGTTTACGTGTACTCTTGGCCATTAGTGTGGCTTTACACTTTTACTATAGTATCATCTACTTTGTACTTTATAGTGAACTACCACTTGCATGCCACTAGTCTTTTTCTTTGCAGTAGGTCCACTTCCAGGTTCTGTTTTTTTTTTTCCAATACCTGCATTTCAACATTCGTAGAACCTCTCTTTTTATTTCACATGATAATACCTCAGATAATGTAATAAAAATAGACAGTATGCAGACTTGTTCATTTCTGAATTCTTGTGAGATAATGAACATTTTCCAAATGATAAAATTTGAGAGTGAATGAAGCGATTTTCTAGCTTATTCCTTGTTTCATTTCTGCATTGCAATGAGTATATCAGTATTAGAAGATGAAAAATTATCAAAATTTCCAAAGTCTGCTGCTCGGACTTGTTCTGATTCAAGTGTAGGATTCTTCTTTCTTGGGTATACCTCAGAAAACATTGGATCATATATGAGGTTTCATTTTTTCTAGTTGTTGGTTCTAGGTCATTATCTAGTCTGTTCTCTGGATTTGGAGGTGAATCCAGTTTGTTTTCTGGAGTTTGAGATAAGTGAGGAGATATTGGTGATGGTGAAGGCAATGTTAGGCCAAGAAGAAATAGCTTTTTGTCCTTATCTGCTACTATGGTCTTTCGATAAGGTTGAGTAAAATATGGCTCGTACTTAGCAAAGGTAACATTCGCAGAAACATATAACTTTTCAGTGGGCGGATGATAGCGTTTGTATCCCTTTTGTGTTGGGGAATATCTCACAAGGACACATTTAATAGCTCCTAGTCTAGCTTCACTCTGTTGTGTTGATGTATGTGAAGATAGAAGACACACCCAAACATTCAAGGAATCAAATGATTTGTTGTATTGATGTCCAGGTAGAATCTAAGACCCATGGTACTAGTTTGTGGATGACATGTGTAGCAGTCAGAATAGCTTCCTACTAGCAGTATTCAGGTCATTATTTTGGAACAAAAATGCCTGAGTTGTGGCAAGTAAATGCCTATTTTTCCTTTTTACCACTCAATTTTATTATGGAGTATGGACACATGATGACTCATGAATAATCCGTCTTGGTGGAAATATGATGAGAGAGCTTGATTGAAAAATATTTGGTGTCATCAATTCAGAATTTTTTTAGCTTGAACGCATTCTGGGTTTTGATCATGTCATGGAAATTGGAAATTATGACTCATCCTGTGGAGTGTGGACACAAGATAACTCATGAATAATCTCTTCCTAGTCGAAATATAATGAAAGAGTTTGATTAAAAAATCTTTAGCACTGTCAATTCAAAAATTTTTTAGTATGAACGCCAAACTAGGTTTTGATCATGTTATGGAAATTGGAAAGAACACAACTGACAGTAGCTTTGGATTTAAGAAAGAAAATTGAAGTAACTCGTATAGAATTATCAATAGAAGAGAGAGGGGAAAAAAAGCAAAAAAAAAAAGCCATCTGGCTCTTGAGATATTAGAAATGTTGAGGATCCCAAACGTTACTGTGAATTAATGAGAAAAAGATTAGAGCTTCTTTATTACTGATAGGAAAAGTTAACGTCTATATTTCGTTAATTCACATACATCACAGTGCAAATTTCCATTATCTAATTCGTTGAATAAGGAATAAAATATAACCTTAAGAACTGAAAAAGAAAGGTGTCTGAGTCTTCAATAATGGAGCTTTTACATGTGCTGGTAGTAGGTTATTCAAAAAGGAAGGAAAGAAGTGCTCTAGGTGACTTTAAGAAGTACAACATGTCCCTTGTCTTAGAATTTCCAATCATCATCCTACAATTCTGATCCTAAAATACACAGTGGGAGAGAAAATATGTGACCTTACAATTTACATCATGAGAAAGTTTATTGATTGAAACTAAATTAGTGGACAGCTTTGGAACATGAAGTACATTCTTAAGAATAAGAGTAGGACTAATCTTGACATTGTCAACTCCTGCTATAGTGTTTAGTGAACCATCTGCAATAGGTATTTTCCTGTTGCTAGGATAAGGGATATATGAACTAATTTTTTATGAGAAATACATCATATGGTCTGTGACTCTTAAGTTTATAATCTATGAATTTGAAAATGATCTATCTGAGGTATTTAGCTTATGTGAAAGAAGGAACTTGTCTGAATGTGCCGAAGAACTGGTACCTATGGGCTTTTCCAGAGATTCGAGGAGATTTTTTAGCTTGTCAATCTCTGCTTTGTTGAATTCTGTGGTTTAGAGCCTTAACTTTCTTGAGTTGATTTGTTACGTGGGCCTGAGCCTGATTTTTTGCTGGTCCATTTTTGTATCTCTGCTCCTTGCTGGAGGTGGAAGACTTTCCATTCAATTGCAAGCACTTAAGTTTATCATATGGTCTGTGACTCTTAAGTTTATAATCTATGAATTTGAAAATGATCTATCTGAGGTATTTAGCTTATGTGAAAGAAGGAACTTGTCTGAATGTGCCGAAGAACTGGTACCTATGGGCTTTTCCAGAGATTCGAGGAGATTTTTTAGCTTGTCAATCTCTGCTTTGTTGAATTCTGTGGTTTAGAGCCTTAACTTTCTTGAGTTGATTTGTTACGTGGGCCTGAGCCTGATTTTTTGCTGGTCCATTTTTGTATCTCTGCTCCTTGCTGGAGGTGGAAGACTTTCCATTCAATTGCAAGCACTTTTCTTTAGTGTGCTTTGCTTTCTTACAGAAGATGCACCACAGTTTGTCTTTGTCATCCTTACTCAATTTTTGTGATTCAGGATTCCCATGTTCCTTAGTTGCCTATTGATGGGACTTAGGCCCATAGTTGGCACTATTGCACCTTCAATGGACTGAGGCTTCAACATGATTTCCCTCGACTTTCTTCTGCCACAATTATGGAGATTACCTCATTCAGATTGGGCAGTTCTTTGCCCAAAATTTGAGCTATAACTTGTTCAAATTCTATGTTAAGATCACCTAAACTCTATCTTTCTCAGTAAATGTTTTCATGATGACTGCATTCTCACTCCGTTTCATATCTATGCAGCGATTATGAGCTAACTCTTGTCACAAGCTTTGGAAAAGATTAGCATACTTGGTAAACGACCTGCGTCCTTATTTGGTAGAAGTGATCATCCTCAGTTTATAAATTTGAGCAGCATCACGAACTTTAAAGTAGGTTTGTCGAACTGCCTCCCTAATATGTTTGGCAGTAGGTAGGGACATGCAAGTATCGTTTATTTCTAGTAGCATTAAGTTCCAGAGTCAAGCCATTATCATAGATTCATCATCTCATGTATCAAAATTGTTTCTTGGTTTCGACACTGTTCCCAAAAGATGGTTGATTTTTCCTTTTCCTTTAGAAATGTAAGAACCAGTTCGGACCATTTTAACTAGGTTTTTCTATTCAGTTGGTGAGCTACCTGAACATGTTGCAATTCTCCTGCATGACTATATGATGCCATACCTTCTGAGACAATGTCAGTGGTTTATGATGTTGCTTCAAACATGACAAGCTAATGCATTGGCAGCTACTGGAGCATGACAGAGTTCAGCTATGAAGGCCAAGTTAAGCAGATCAACTGGAGTCTGGTGGTGCAACTTGAGCAAGCGGTGCAGCTAATACAGAATTTGGCTATGAAGGCCGGTTGTTGGGTCTAGGCTCTTTTCTTTTGTTTTCATTATGGCAATAAAGATTTGGATTAGAGTTCATAAAAAAGTTGAGATATTTTCCTACAGCTCTGATATCATATTAAATGTTATAATTTTATTGAATAATATAACCTATTTATATACAATTTGTTGAAAAACAAAAAAGAATATCCTAATTTAGTTACACGTAGGAATTCTAGTTTAACTACACTTAGAAGACACAAATTTAGTTACATCTCTATTTAGGAGATTAATAGTAAACATATAAAAGAAGAAAAGTATCTGTACTTAATAACACTTTCCAACATCTTTTACTTCTTCCTTACAACTCAGTTTTTGTTCCTCTAAGTTTGAAAAGAAAAAGGAGGAAAAAAGACAGAGCATAAAAAAAATATAAGGAAAATTTTTTATTTTATTGCTACTAACTTGTCTATAATAAAAGTTATTATTGACTATTTTCTTATAAACAATAATTTCCTTTCATTTATAAAACTAAAACAAATAAACTATTATAACAATCATTTTCTTTTTATTGTTTTTTAATTTTTAGTTATCAAAAGAAAGGAAAAAACATTTCCTTTTTCTTCCTCTTTGTTCTTTTAATATTTCTTACGTGAATGTGGTTTTAATGTTCTTTTCTTTTTGGATGAGTTTTCTTGGCCATAAGCTAGTTATTTCTTAATAGTTTCAGCCTGATCATGTTTTATCTTGCAGAACACCAATGGAATTTGGGGAAGGATCTGAAGTAAGAAAAGGATTTAGGGGTTTTGTTTCAAAGATTACGCTGCACATACCTGGGTCTGGCATTGTTGAATGCACGGGAGAAGCTAGAACTGATAAGAAGAGTTCATTTGACTCTGCGGCGTTTCTTATGCTCTATGAGCTTCAGAAGCAAGGGAAACTCATGATTAGTAAATTTTTGTGAGTACCTAATTTAAGATTTTCAATTTTATTAGAGAAATAGAGAGAATATTATGGTAAACTTTTTAGTAATCCAACTTCATTATCTTCATATACAACGAAGCAATTAGGAAGTAGGCACTACTATATGTATGATAATAGCCTGTGTATTAACTGTAACAAATAAGTCATGAGAGAATGTGATCTCTATTGTCAAAAGACATGAATGCTATTACTGTCCCTTCTATATATATATGTGCTCTCTCTGTTGGGGGAAGCTTTGCTGTTCAAATAGCTTGTTGCTGGTAAGGGAAATTATATGGAATGGTTTGTTTCTGGGAAGGGGAATGGAGAGAGAATAATGGTATTGAGAGATAGCTATTGGTGTGGTGAGGAGAGAGAGAGAGAGAGAGAGAGAGAGATTTCTTAGGTGTCGGTAAGGAGTGAGAGAGATCAAGAGAATATGCATCTCTTAAATAAATCTGCAACTTAAGACAAAGTCATAACTTGATGTGTATATTGATACAATTCTGAATATAATGGTTTATTTGATACAAATACGAAAGTGCAACATTACTTTTGTATGTCAATCTTCAAAATTACAATCTTCTGTATCCAACACGTGTAGACCTGGGTACATCCAATTACATCTTGCACCGACAATAAACCATCCCAATGAGATATTATACACATGGTGGCCACGGGTAATCATTAAACACTCCTTGACCGTTCTGGGAGTTTCTTGATTTTGGGTGGTATCAGAAATTTATCTAAATGTTTTAGCTTACTGTTAATTTTTTTTAAGCGTCTTAACTCTTGTAACTAGATTGTCCATGTTTTAGTTAACCAAACTTATCCCTTTTCTATGATTTTATTTATATTGAGGAAACAATTGTATATTTTATCCAACTTCTTTTGGAGGATATGGTTGTACTCCTGCAGATTAAATATATATAATTTCTTTCTTAAAAAATGGTCTTTTGTCATACATGCTTGGTGACTTGAACTGATCCATTTATTGATATTTTAATCTACTATTCAGTTATTGATATTTTCTTCCAACAGAAAGTAAAACATCTAGTCCGTTGAGAGGTATCCATCTTTTCAACCCTCTAACCATACCCGTGCTTCGGCACACGAAAGAACATAGCCCTCTAGGGGTTATGGTAGGCTCAATATCAAAATCAGCCGGTGCATAAGGGTGTATCCAACTGATTTAGTTCATAAGATATATATCCTTGTATTGAATAGACAATCAATTTCTAATATTTGATGGTGGAATCAGAAGAGCAGTCAGAAGTAATTTGGTAAGATGCGTCCGCCTAAAAATATTTTAAAAGTTGAATACAGATTGTTCAATGGTCTAGATTGGAGTTTGTATGTTTGAGACTGGAACTGTAGGATTGTGTTTTCTAGTATGTGTCACATATTCTCCCCAGTGTGCATAGAGGTAGCATAATTAAGTTTTGGCGGTTCTACATGGGTTACAAGCAGCAATCTCAACGAGTGTTATACATGTATTGTTGAATGGCAGTTCTATAGGTTTTCGTTTTTCACTTTATCAAATAAATTGGTAGATAGGTTTGAGAATGGTTGACTATTAAAGACATTTTAGCTTTATTTCCTTATATTTTTCTTTATTTCGTCGTGATGGATACTTAAAAATTGTAATCAGGTTGTTCGTGTGATACAGAATAGACATTTTCATTAATAGGAGAAATAAAACAAAACTAATAAAGAACATAAACATTTTAGGAAGTTAACTAAAATGATAGAAAGAATTAATTTTCTTGTTTTAATTTTTAAAAAAGTTTTAGAATAAAGAAAAATGGGAAGATTTATTTTCCTATTTCATATATTTTTTGTTTCTTTTTACTTAAACTTATTTTCTTATTTACTATACTTTTTAGTTATATATTTTTTGATGTATTTCGTACATATAAATAAAGTACCTATTGTAATTATTAGATAGACTATTGATGATTATTATTCAAATTTGGATGCATTATTTATATTATTTAGATCCAAAATCTCCGAATTTTGTTTTTAATAACTTCTTTCTTCAAACTCTTTTCATCATACATAAGTTGGTATTAGAACTTAAACATGATTCACCATGTTATCTTATTTTTCTTAACTCAACTTCACAAAACTCTAACTCTAATATCAAAAGAAAAATCCTAAACTCATAAATAAGTTGCCAGCAGCATCATGATAAAAAAAAAAAAAAAAAAAAGACAACAATTTTCAGTGCAAGACCATCTCTAAACGCTACTTAAAAGTGGCCAACACCACCTCTTCCATTGACCACGAAAAGGGTCTAAACAGGTTATTCCGCCAAGTTTAAATGCTCAATGATGCCAGGAACCATCCTACTCTTTGCTTGAAGTTATTATCACAATTGTTTCGACAAAGTACCCTTTCATGATCATTGGGAGTAACATCAACATTAGATCTAAAATCATTGCTTCTAGACTAGAGATTCGCAGAAAGTTAGTGCATGACTCCCACATGCCAACCAAGTTGCTCGGCCTTTGGTTTTTTTACACTCTTGTTGGTTTGAATTATTTTGACTCAATTCATTTTACTTTGTCAAGTTCAACCACCTTCAAACTTATTTTGATTTTTCTAAAATGATTCTTAAGGTTTTTAAACCTACTATTTTATTTTTTTAGTTTAGTTGACTCAAATTTTTATTCTCTATTCAATTTTATAAGTTAATACTAGATAGTGTATTTCATGTCAAAGAAATATTAAATAAATGCAAGACATGAATTTCTTTTAATTACATTTTATCAAATAGATGGATCAATTACAAATGATGATTTACAATGTGTTTTATATGAAAGTTTTGATCAATATGAATAAAAGGATAAAATTAAAATCAGTTAATGTTCTGCAAGGTTTCAAGCTTTTTATGACCTATGAATTTTATGAATAAGCTATTTCGGACTCGAGATTCTCTTTAATCATATCACTTATATGATGGATGTTATCAAATTAAAATCTAATATTATTTATCGATACTTAAAATTTTGAAAAAAAAAAATGCACCACTTATAAAAAAAAAAGTCATAAAAACAACATGATAATTCTCATCTTTACAAAGTAGCTTTGGAGAAGTACAAGATAGCTATTGAGGATTAAAAGTGATGAAATTGATATGTACAAATGAAGCTGTAAAGATAGAAAAAATCTTAAATCTTCCATTACGTAATAACTTAAGGTATTCAAACTTCAATAGAACATGAAAAACAATAAAATAATGAAAGGGTCTATGAATTAATGGTTAACGAACATTTTATGAAAATGCTACAACTTAATAATCAAGAATTAAGTAATGATATCAAAGGTATGTATACAAATAAGGTAATTGAGATAATAGTAGGTACCTTGCACAAGATTATTATTCCTGTGGATCAAGTTAAGTTTTTTTTTATGATTAATCTCTCAATTTAGTTATAAAGTACGATGTTCTTGAGGTTAAAAATAATTCTAGTTTCGCACTTTTAAAAGAAAGAGACTCTATTGAAAGACACAACTCTAAAAATATTTTTCGCTCCTAATAACAACAAGAAAAGTTTGATCGTTCTTCATTTCTTGGATTTTATCATTCCTAATTTATTAACTATGTCATCAGAATCTCGAATTTCGGAAACATTCATGTCCTCTCATTATAATTTCAGGTTCTACAATCTTTAATTATTAAGAAGGCATCTTACAATTTTGATATTCTTTCTATTTAATATTTTAAATTTTGAAGTTAAGTTTTTTACCAAAAGTGAGGGAGAATGATGCAGAAAAGGAAGCTTCTAAAGTTGGTATATTTTAATAATAAGATATATAAGACATAATTGATAAAAGGACTTTAAACTTTTTGGGGATTTAACTAAAAAGAATAGAAATATTTAATTTTCTTTTCTAAGTTTTGAAAAATTTATGAAAAATAAAATATGAAAATTTATTTCCCTGTTCTATGGATTTACTTCTTTCTATTTAACTTATTTTTCTATTTGTTAGGTTTTCTAAATTTTATATTATTGATATATTTAGTATTTATAATTAAGTTACCTAAGTTAGATATTAGGTAGATCTTTGATGATATTTTTCAAATATTGACAAAATTTCATATTTTTTATATATTTAGTAGTTATATTTAAGGTACTTAACTTATTATTAGGTAGATCGTTGATAATATTATTCAAATATTGATATATTGTAATACCCCGAGCCCAGAATTTAGGCTCAGGATGACAAAATTATCTTAATAATAATTTTAAAATTTTTAAATTTAATTTTTTGAGTTATATGCATTTTCGATGCATTTGAAACAATTTTCAAAGGTTAAAGTCCAACCTGTAAATAAAGAGATGATATATTTGAAAGAAAAATCGAAAAACATGGGTCAAATCATACAAAAAGAAAATGCAGCCACGTGGGACCGCCACGTCAGCAACGCGACGAATTGCTGTGTGCCACATGACAAACATGCCAATCCAGTTCTATGCGAGAAGTCACGCGGGTGATCCGCGTGCCAGGCCGATTGAACAACTCAGGGCCTCTCCCGCGTGTGTGAACGGTTGAGATCGATTCTCCGAATATGCTTGATCGAACGACTCGCGTGCCTAAAATCGGATGGTCCAGATCAATTTTTTCATTAGGCACGATCGAACGGTCCTTGTTGCTCTACATGTCTTTGCAGAGACGGTCCAGATCAAAGTAGAAGAGGTATTTAAACCTCGCTACCCGGCTCCCCAAAACCCTAGCTGCCGAGACCACCAGAGAAGAAGAAAAAGGGCAGTCAAAAAGTATAGCAGTCACCGAAGAAGAGGAAGTCGGCTATCGTTGCCGCCGCATAGAGACCTAAACCGACACCGATAAGTGAAATTTTTTCTCGTTCGTTCCATTTTTTCATTCTATACTACCCCAAACCCTTATCGACGCAGGAAAATCAAAGGAGAAACTAGAAACAGATGGCGAAACTCGGTTGAGTTGCCGCACCTGAAACTGAAAAACTCCTATAGTGAGCCCAAATCCTTTTTATGTTCCCTTTCATTTCTCAACCATAGGTTATCTAATATATTTGTTGTGTAGGACAACCAAAGGAAGACTGCGACCACGAGGGAGTAGCAGCAGAGCCGCCTCATTGGAAACCCCAAACCACCGGTAAGTTGCGATTTTCCACCTTTTTCCACCAACAGAGGCTACCTAACACCGAATTTCATAAGTTTTCACCCAGAACTGGCCAAAACGGCCTGACCAAGGGGAGGAACCACCGTAGGCGGCAGAACCAA